TGCAGCTGGTTTCATTTCTTAATGGTTTTTCACTCATGTTCAGTATTTCCACTCAGACCCTAAGTGAAGCAGCTGGCTGCCATCTCAGCTGACAATGGACTGGTGCCACACAGCCCCCAGAGCTGGCATCCAGGCTTTTATTCACTGAACAGTTAGCCAGATTTCAAGAGCCTGCCAGTGTTCTGATTTGGTATACTGTACCATCTTTCTAGCAGCCACACAAATATTACAATATTGCCATAACGATGAACTCCTCGCTTGTTTCTTTACATAGCTTAGTGGCTGGTTATTTTAATCTTGCTGTTGGTTACTGAAATACTGAATAGTGGACTTAAAGATATAACTCTTATTTCATAAAGACATTTCCCATTTTAGATATTAAGAGGGTTTTTTTTCCTTTTTAAATTTTCTTTTCACTTTTTCAAGTCCCAGAATGTATGCTTGTACAGGGACTTGAAACTCAAGGTTGTACACTTTCATATGGCTTTTTTGCTGAAGGCTGGTTCTCTACCAACTTGAGTGACAGCTCCACTTCTGGCTCTTTGCTTGAATTTGTCTTCACTGCCTGGCTTTGAACCTGAATCATCACTCAAATCTCATCCTCCTGAGTAGCTAGGATTACCTCAGAACAAGCCTCTGGTGCCCAGCTAGTTTTCTTTAAGTGGAAATATCCAGCTAGGCCAGGCACAGCCATGCCAGGCATAAAGGATTGTATGCATGTGCCAGGTACACATAGAAGGCGCAGACACAGATAGTATAGTTTTCTTCCTTCTGCCCACTCAAAAGTTTGTAAATCATCTTCAGACATTTTCTCTACCAGGCAGAATTGTCAGCTCATGGCCCCAGTGCTGTGTGTGTGTGTGTGTGTGTGTGTGTGTTTTGTGTATATGTGTGTACATGTGCACGTGCCTTTGGTCAATGTGTGAATGTGAACAGTGGAAGAAAAGGATTTGGTGCCTGGCACAGCTCTGCTATCCAACCCTGGGCCCAAAGAGGACAGCAGATTATTTGGGCTATGTGTTTGTTGAATTGGTTAGAATGAGAGCAGGGGGCCATCTGTCTGTGAAGTGGTTGCTGAGTTTCCAGTGTCACATTTGAAGGACACACTGACTGGCAGCATGTGTCCAGGGCACAGGGGCTATCAAGGTAGCGAGGCCTGGGTGTGTATGTCCTCAGCGGTGTCCTAGATGAGCCAAGGGAAAGCATGTCTTACACTGTGAGATTCTAGGAAGCAGAAATAAGACAAATGGGCAGAAATTTGGGAGAGGTTAAATTAGGAAGCATTTAGTCAATAACTATATCAGGAAGTTTTTCATTTTGGTCTTTCAATGCAAATTAAAAAAAAAAGTACCTGACTTAAATAAACTTTCAAATAGAGTTGAACTCATTACATGGTGTCTCACACCTCTTAATTCCAGCTACTTGGCAAGTGGAGGTAGGAGGATGAAGATTAGAGGCCAGCCCAGGCAGAGTTCGCACAAGACCTTATCTGGAAAACACAACAAAAGAGCAACAAAGAGAACTTCCTTACATTCTCCGGAGGCTGTGGGGTCTGAAGGCATGATTACACTTGTCTTTATATTGAAGAATATCCATCTTGCTTCTTTTGTGGGTGTTCACACATACAGAGTTGGGGTCAGCAGATGTCAACAGAGTGACACCAGGTTCAGCGGCTTTGTATCAGCCCCGTCACGCCACAGTTATAACATCGGGCATTAGCCATCACCTTCTGTGCCTGGCTGCCCTGTCTAGAAATGATGCAGGAATAAATAGTATTAGGCTCTCAATTATCTTATTATCAAGCATGTTTTAAATAGTTCTTATCCTGAGCATTAATGTGGTAATATACTCCATGTGTTGTTCGCTGCATTAAGAACCAACAGATAGATTCAAAGAAGTCAAGAAGTTTGAAGTTTTAAACTTTTAAATATACAAATATGTAATGTATCAAAATATAGTTATATAATTACCATAATTACTTTTGTATAAGTACATATAAGATAATGACATATATTATGTAATATATAATTTAACTTGATAATTTATTTCTTGAAATGCAGTCTTACAGACAAAATAAGGGAACACAGCTTCACGAGCTGTTTTTCAGACAACATAAATACCTTCCATAATAAGAAATCCACTGATTGCAATGTCAAAGGAATCAGGAAAACTAATATTTGTGTTTTATGCCTTGCTATGTTGACTGCTGGAAATACAGAGTGATTAAAAAAGTAGTCACATTACCTAAGATTTTTTCCAAAAATCCCTCAATAGGCTGCTGGGCTTCTGGGAAGGGCATACGTCACTGTGGGAGCTGTGGACCACGTGAGAGCCCGGTGCCAGCACTGAAGGAACCAGCACCACAGGCGCCTGCAGGGAGTTCCACCCCATGCTGAAGCTGTGGCTGGGAACAGACAAGGTTTGGGGGTAGAAAGACCAGCAGTAACAGTGATGCCTCACAGACAGGCTATGGCTGCTTTGAAACCATCAGGGTTGTTGTCTTTCAACAATGGATGGACTGAAGTATCCACTGAAGTGTCCTTGTATTCCTGGAGCCCAGGCCAGGAGGACATGGCTGCAGCCAGGGCACAGAGAAACCTCTAATGCGTGCACTGTCCACAGCCTCGGGCATTCGTCAGGTGTTTAGTTTATAGGTAGAATTAAAACTGCTTCCATCACCCTAGGCTTTCAGTCTGTGCTTCACTTTGCTAACATAAATTAGGTTCTAAATAAAGTTCTGGCAGAAATACCACCATCCATTAACCTGAAGAAAACTTTTCCTTCCAGGGCCATTTTCTTATTTAGTTTTTTGTTAATGTCTTTCCTTTTTGATATAGAGATAAAAACAAATATGCACATTTAACCCTCAGAGACTAGAACACTAGAATAATGACAAACTACTCTCTCAATAAGTCATGTATGGTAACTTTGACAAAAGCAATACAAAGAAATTTTTAGCTGGGTGCTGATGACTCACATCTGTAATCCTTACTACTTAAAAGCCTGAGATCTGAGGATCCCAGTTTGAAGACAGCCCAGCAGGAAAGTCCATGAGACTCTTATCTTCAATTAACCACAAAAAGCCAGAAGTGGTAGAGTGTGTGAACCCTGAGTGTGAGTTCAAGCCCCAGTGCTGGCATGAGAGAGAGAGGAAGAGAGGGAGGGAAGGAAGGAAAGAAAAGGAAGGAAGGAAGGCTGGTTGGTATGAATACGTGAATCTCAAACTTGAGCTTCAAGAGCACCAACAACATTTGGGAACTGTGAATACGTTGATGTATCATCATGTAAGGCTGGCTTGTGTCCTGCTCTGGTCATCTCAGAGTCAGGAAATATGTCTACAAGCTCATTAGTAATCAGGAAAGAGAAGAGAAAACACAGTATCACAATGATGACAATCTTAAAATTAACTTGTGCTAAGGGCATTTCTCCATATCACAGCTCTAGAGACATAGTCAATGGTTCATGGGTGTGATCCTCCACCTGACATGTGGCAGGGGCCTTTGGGTACTAGGCATAGTATGGAAATGTGGGAACAAGCTGTGTTTTCCCCTAGGCAGTGTACAACCTGTGTCATTAGACTTTATTGGCTTAGATTCTGTGTCTTGTTGTCTTACATCACTTGAAATAGGATGGAAAACATTCTGTCCGATAGGCAGATGACAGTAATCTCCCTGTGGACAAATCTAGAGCTTCCAAGAGGAGAGCAGGAGCCACTTTGCTTCAGGAAGACCCTCTAAGTCACTTGATGCCTGAGGGCTTTTTAAATGATGGAAAGGCTTATTATATAGATAATTATACTTTATTAGTGCTTCAACACTTACACTCGTTATTTAAGTCATGATAGCAGTTTTACTACAAGATGCTGTGATATTTTAATGTAAGCTAAGAAAAAATATTCATCTTTAAAATAACGTAACTATATACCCTTCCAAAATATGTATTAATAATAACAAAGAGTTCTTTAGATTTAGGCAGAATGTAACATTGTCATTTTGTTTGAAATACGACATTTTGTTTGTCATAGGTTTGAATTTTATTCAAATAAGTCTTAGAAGTGATATGTAGCTATGTCTTAGGCCATACTGAAAACTGTTACTTTCCAAACAAATATTTGAAGGAAATAGCTCAGTTGACAGTTGAATTCCTAAGGCTCCCCAGGACCATGCCTCCCTCCCCAGACGCCCCCCCCCCATCCAGGCTACCCTTTCTCTCTGTTTGCTGTTCCTGAAGCAGACTGGGCAGCACTGACCTGTGAATTCCAGAAGGGAAACTGATAGGTGATTGCTGCCAACCTTCATACCAAGACAGGAACAGGTGACGGAAGGAACTGAAATGACTTCCAAGTCATCATTTCACATAAAAATGGCCTTGAGCTGGTGACTTCAAAAACCCATCCAAAGGCATCAGATTAGACGACAGGGGAGACATGCTCACATACATGGAGACATACATGCATGTATGTGCTCTGTTTTCTTATTTTTAAAGTTAATGTGATGGAGCAAGGAAGGGGGAGAACGCAGTCAGAACACTCAGTGCACACCTGTGAAATGGGAATCAGATAACTGTGGGGAAGACTGGGACTGGGAGAAGTGGGGAGGGGAGGGGCAGGAATGGGAGGGATAGGGAGGGCAGGGGTGGGGCTGGGAGAGGTGGGGAGAACACCGAAGAGGTGACACTCGATGCATTGCGCTCACAAACTCACATGTGGAATTCAAACCCCTTTATACAGCTATTTAAGGAAAATAATTCTTTTTGGAGAAGTGAGCCCCTACACATAACGTATTTATTCCCTTTTCCTATGATACTAGAACAAGTTGTTGAATATCACACAGATAATGTGTTTATTTTATTTTATAGCGAATAAAATGAATGTCAGAAGTGGCACTGTGGCTCAGGTGGTAGAGCATTTGCCTTGAGCTGAAGAGCTGAGGGACAGTGTTCAAGCCCCATGGACTGACAAATATAAATAAATAAAATGAATGTCATGTATTTATTTTTAGGGTGAAAATGGTTTACGTGGTGTTCCCGGCTTACCTGGACAAAAGGTAAAGAGCTTTTAAATACTTGACATGAGCCAAGGATGTTAACATCTTGACAATATCATTTGCACACATAACATAGAGATTCAGAAAATGTTCTTGGTAAAACTGAATTCCACTTAAGACTCTGAGAAAGCTAATGTCCAGTTTTGTTATGTTTTGTTTTTCTTCCTCTGAAGTGCACTCTAAGAAAGCTTTGTCATGGGCTTCAGTGATGTGTTGCCCTAAAAATAGAAAACACACAGTGAGCTGTCTTTAATTGCCTTTGAATAATAAAACTGCTTATGTATTATGTATCCTTCTTTTGATGTATTCAGATTGAGCTGAGCAGACTGGTTACAGTGGCATAAAAAATGTAATATTATAAAGAGGTTATAGACAGCTAATCTCTATGAAGGAAGTCTCCCAGAGTGGCAAAGTGATGATAAATGGGAAGTTTTTCACTGGCCAGGGTGCTTCCGTCTGTGCCTGGCAGCTCTCCCTTCACCATCGTGAACCGTGTTTGTGCCCTCTCTGGGAAGAACACCACTGTAAGTGACACAGATGGTAGATCCTAGCTTCCCAGAGGGTGAGTGAGGGCTCCCTTCAGGCTGAGCCAGCTTCCACTGTCCTCATAGACCCTACAGAGCCCCACCCCAGAGGGAGCATTAGCAACACAAGCTTAGATGCCACTAAAGCCAGGCTTGCCATTTCTGTGTTCTGGAGGAGATCTACCGGTCTTCACAACAAGATGTCAGTAGTTACTGTGCTTCTGATTCTCTGTAGCTAAGACTACTATATAAAATAGGACAGGCCCTTGTTTCTAGTTGCAGTTTCCTGGGCTTGGCCCAGTGAAGGTAATGAGACTATGCTGGCAGCTTCTGAATTCCTCTACCAGGTTCTAGACAAAACCTACAGAGCTGGCACACTCTTTCTGTGAGAGGAGTTGCCAGCCAGGGATGAGCAGATTTATCTGCTGGGAAATTGCTTTGGACTTTCTAGCAGCTGTTGGTGGTGGCTGGATCAGGCTGGCACTGGGGCTGACGTGCTAGGGGTGTTGAGCAGCTTCGGTGTCAGTTTGAATTAACAGATGGAATTAAGGTCTCTATTTTTAGAAAAAAAATGGTAGATGCATGGTCGCATGCATTCAGTGGCAACAATCTTTCTTTCTTTCTTTCTTTCTTTCTTTCTTTCTTTCTTTCTTTCTTTCTTTCTTTCTTTCTTTCTTTCTTTCTTTCTCCTTCCTTCCCTCCTTCCCTTCCTTCCCTCCTTCCCTCCCTCCCTCCCTACCTCCCTCCCTCCCTCCCCCCCTCCCCCATCTCTCTCTCTCTCTGTTCTTGGTTGTGGAGCTTGAACTCTGGGCTTGGGCACTGTCCCTGTGCTCTTCAGCTCAAGGCTAGCACTCTATAACTTGAACCACAGTGCCACTTCCAGTTTTCTGGTGGTTAATTGGACATCCCTGCCTGGGCTGGCTTTGAACTGCAATCCTCAGATCTCAGCCTCCTGAGTAGCTAGGATTACAGGCATGAGCCACGGTGCCTGGCTTCTTCTTTCTTTTTGTTGGTAATTTTTTGATAATAAACAAAAACATGATTTAATCATATGTATACATATATGTACTGTACACATGTATTTTATTCTGTGTATATATAAAACTGTTTACAGAGACTATGCATTAGAAGCTGACTGTTTTTCATTAATTTGAATTTTAATTATACCAGGTGTCACTTTGATGAGGCACTTCAGGCAAATCTGAGGACTAAAGATTGTCTTTCATCTGGGCACTGGTGCTCAGGCCAGTAATCCCAGCTACTCAGGAGGCTGAGATCTGAGAATTGATGTCCAAAGCCAGCCTTGGCAGGAACATCCTGTGGCTCAGATGGTAGAGTATGGAAAAGCTACAGGACAGTACTTAGGCCCTGAGTTCAAGCGCCAGGACCAGTGCAAAAAAAGAATAAAAGGAGAGAAAGGCCCGGGAAGGGAGAAGGGAGAAGGAAGGAAGGAAGGAAGGAAGGAAGGAAGGAAGGAAGGAAGGAAGGAAGGAAGGAAGGAAGGAAGGAAGGCAGGCAGGCAGCAGGCAGGCTCAAAAGTCTCATCCCTTTGAACTCAGGAAATGCTTGCTGAAGGCTTCTATGTCAAGGCCCTCCTTGGGTGCTGACTGGCTCTCATCACTTGCCTTCTGCCCTCACCACTCCTTCTCTGGTGCTGGCCTCCCAGGTGGAGCCCAAACTCCCAGGTCTCAGGTTTGAACCTGAGCAGAGCCATCCTGATACTCAGTCAGTACCAGAACAGCATCAGAGCAGGGCCAAACAGAAGTCAGCACTGCAAGCAGCCAGCCACCTCTGGGTCTGGGGAATACAATAAAAAGGAAATGGTGGGCTGGGTGCCGGTAGCTCACACCTGTAATCCCAGCTACTCAGGAAGCTGTGATTTGAGGATCATGGTTCAAAGCCAGCCAGGGCAGGAAAGGCTGAGACTTTTATCTCCAGTGACCACCAGAAAACCGGAAGTGGCACTGTGGATCAAGTAGTAGAGCACTAGCCTTGAGCTGAAGCACTCAGGGACAGCACCCAGGCACAGAGTTCAAGCCCCACAACCAACTAAAGAAAAAGAAATGGTGGAAGTGCAGGCTGGGGAGCAGGCCAGTACCTTCCTCAGACCAGCGAGGCCAGCATCCTCACTGCCCTTGCACCTAGGGTGCAGGCTCTGAGTGTTGACCTGCCAGGAGGTGGGAACACCCAGAGTCAGTTCCTTGCTAGTGCCTAGGATAGGGAGATGGGGCTTGTTCACTTTGACTCAGACCTCACAGAGCAGGAATGCCCAATGCGAGTTTAGCATTCGTGGCAATGTTTAAAAAGTCCCATGGTGCTGAGGCCTTGCTCTTCTTGCTGCCCCTTCCTCTGCAGGGATAACTAGGGATCATGTGACCCCAGGAGAAACCAGAGAAAAGGTCAGTCTCCCTCCATGTGCATTGGTGAAGGTAGATTATGTTCTTGGAAATATTTTCAAAGTTACTATCTACCTTGTTTTCCCTGTCCTATTCAAGAGGTCAGCAACTTCATTAAAAAAGTAAAAAGAAGCCGGGTGCCAGTGGCTCACACCTGTAATCCTAGCTACTCAGGAGGCTGAAATCTGAGGATCACGGTTCAGAGCCAGCCTGGGCAGGAAAGTCCATGAGACTCTTACCTCCAATAAACCACTAGAAAACCAGAAGTGGCACTGTGGCTCAAGTGGTAGAGTGCTCACCTTGAGCTGAAGAGTGCAGGGACAGTGCCCAAGCCCAGAGTTCAAGCCTCATGACTGACAAAAAAAAATAGTAAAAAGATTTGCTTTAATCACAGAGAATATATTGGTGATTGTCAGGAATCCTACCTTTACTTAAATGGTAGACACTTCTGGTTGCATGCATTCTTTTGCCATATAAAAGGTATAGACTTTATTAAACAAGATTTCATTATGATGCCACTACTCCATTGGGTCTAAGCTTTAAATACGTACACCTGATTGATCAGCCAAATTTTCCTGAAGGAATAAATAAGAATTTTCTGTACTAGAAAAGAGATTAGAATGATTTCAAAGGGTTTAATAAAGGGAGGATTTAAAAGGTATGACCACAGAATGTAAGAAATGCATGAGCATCTGTGCCATCCTGAGTCACTGGACTGGTAGTAATAGAAAAGACAGGAGAAACCTTGCCCAGGAGCTGAGGACATCTGTACAAATCAAGAGGAATAATAAACCCCTCCCCCTCCTGGCCCCCAGCCCTCAGTCACCTCTCCCCTCCCCAAGCCCTGACCCCCTTTCTTTCCCCCTCCAGGCTCTCCAGCCCTGATCAGGCCCCCCTCCCTTCCCAGCCCCCAACCCTGAGCTCCCCTCCTTTCCACTTCTTGGCCCCCAGCCCTGAAATCCCACTGCCTGAACCAAACCCAGAGTAGACAGGGCCACACAGAAGCCTCCAGGGACCAGAGCAGGAGGACGAGTGGGGACAGAGGGCATAATCTAGCTCCTGACCCAGCTGTGTCATCTTGAGTGACCTTGTACAACGGAATCCTGTGTGGTTAATTTCACATCCTAAAGTAGTATTTTATTGTAATAAATAACTGCAAAATCATTTGCTAACTCTTGAAAAACATCATTGCTTTACAAACAGCTTATTGAAAGTACCAAAAATAGAAGTGCCTAGATGTTCAAAATTCCCCTTCACACACCATTTCAATCTGTCTCCATTTCAAAACTGTCATTGTGTTTTTAAATAAGTCAGACAGTTCCATCCCTTTGTTTTATAATTCTTATGTACATCAACTGCCAGGCAATTAAGGAAGTGGAAAGGAAGGCTGGAAAGATGACTAGATCATCTCAAGTTAGACAGTATCAGGCGCTTAGCTTGCTTGGCAGTTGTCAGTTATTCTCCTCTTCATTATTTCAGTATTTCTAGAGACAACGAGCATCTACTGTAATTATAAGATGAATTACACTGTTGTGAACTACATGATAATTATTCTCCTCACTGAACTGTGAGAAAGAAAAAAGATAGCCCAATAATAGCCATGCCATGGAAAATTCCATTGAATTATAACTTTTAAAAGCAGGTCTTTTGTCTTAGAAGTCCTGAACATTTTCACTTTGAATAACAGTCATTGTAAGAGCATACTTTTCTTTTGCAATTTTTTTATTGTGATTAAGTGATTACATAAATTTCACAGTATTGTGGGATAGTGATAGTTAAAGTCACAAACACATTCTAGCCTTCATGGGGCAAATTGTCTTTATCGTGGTCTATAAAGTTTATGAGTTCTGTGAGTTTTGACATTTCTTCCACATTGGGTGATATGTACATTTCTTTCCTTTTGCTTAATGTCAGCTGTTTCCTCTTTCCCTCTCATTTCCTCCCTCCCATCGTTACCATTGAGTTACTTAGTTTATTTTGATCAATGTCCAGTGCAGCTGATGGGTCCCACTGATATATGTTTTCCCCTGTTTCCCTCTGTTTCTGTGTCTTCCTCCTAGTTTCCTCCCATGTGCATATA